ATTATTTTTCTACTTGTTATGGTCTTTATGTTAATCACCATAAGAGTATGGTGTCATTCTCTAAGGATGCTTCTAATAAGGATCAAATTTGCCAGGTTTTGAATTTTACATTTTCTTAGAATTTCATTAAGTATATGGGCATTCCTTTTTCTATTAAATGGCTTAGTGGTATTGATCTTCAACCGCTGTTTCATAAGGTCACTGAATTGCTTTTGGGTTGGAAGGCAAAAATTTTATCTTTTGCTAATAGAGTTCAATTTCTTAAATTTTCTATAACTAATTATATTGCTTATTGGATCAGAGGGATGATTGTACCTAAATTTGGTGTAAAGTTCATTAGAAAATGTTGTTCTAATTTTCTGTTTCATGGCAATATACATTCGAGAAAAATGCATACTTTCGCTTGGAAGGATGTTTGTAAGCCTAAAAGGTTGGGGGTTTAGGGATTCCTGATATTAATGCTCTATATTTTGCTTATAATTCTTCTCTTATTTGGAGAATTTTAAACAATTGATGCACGTTAGCTGCTTGGTTGACAGACAAACTTTTATCTCTTTGGAAGCCACCCCCTTCTAAGGCTTCTATTTTCTGGAAAAGATTATGTAATTTGGTTACGGATCTTAAGAAAAAAATTCTCTTATTATTATTGTTGATAGTGATTTATCATTTTGCTGGGATCCTTGGATCGGTGGAAACTCTCTTTATGATTTATTTCCTAATATTAGTACTCATTGGCATTCTATGTTGACAAAAAATGTTATAGTGGGAAACAATTGAACACTGACGTATTGCTTACAGTTTTTGAACTGTACTATATATACTATCCCTATACAGAGAAATTTTTCCTCTTGTGCTAAGTGGAATGGGGAACTTTATCCCAAGTTTATATTCTTTCATTTGGAATTTTATGGTGGTTTGTCTAAGGTTCTTTGGTTTAAGTTTATTTGGCATAAATGTTATGCTTTAAGATACTCTTGCTATGCTTGGAAGGCCTTATTAAATGGTTTAAATAATGCAGATATTTTAGCTAAAAGAAATATTTTTATTCCTTCTGGATGCGTTTTCTTTAATTCTGATTTGGAGTCTCACAATCACTTATTTTTCAATTGTGATTACTCTTTTCAAGTGTTATTTTTATCATTCATAATCTTTCTCATTTTTTTCTTAGGCCTAATTTTTTTGCAAGTTTTAGATTTTATTTCTTATCATAACGTGTCTTTTAATGTTAAGAATTTCTTCTTTTTGTGTCTTGTTGTTATTTGTATTTTCTTTGGAAAGAAAAGAATGAGAGGAGATTTTCTGGTCTTTGCTTAAGTGTGGATTCAGTTTGCAGGATGAATCATCATGATGTTTATGCTAGGTTTCTGGTTGGAAACCCTTTAAGGAAATTAAGTGTTTTTTGGTTTGATTGGCTTTGTTGGTGGGTGTTCTTGGTTGGCCTTATATTGTCAACTGATTTTTATTTGGATGGACAATATTTGGCTAATTTTTTTTCTCGTTGATTTGCTGGCTTTTGTTTTTTATTTTTTGTATTTTGGCAAGTGGCTTCTCTGGGTTTGTTTTTGAGTCTTTTTGCTTGATTTGATGGTGTCAGATAGGTGGGGAGATTTGGTTGATGTTGTTTGATTGTGGTTTATCTCCTGGCTGCTATTGGATCTTCTTTTTGAAGGGCTGTTATCACTAGGTGATGTTGCTTGATTGTGGTTCCATTCTTGGTTGTTGTTGGGTCTTCTTTAAGAAGGGCAGTCCTTACGGGGTGTTGTGGTTGGTAGATTGTAGATTATGGTTGATGGTTCCCGTTGTTGTTGGCTGATTATGGCTTTTCTTCCTCGGATGCTTCTGTTGATCAGGATGATATTGATTGATCGTGGTTTCATTGTTGGTTTCTGATTGCTGTCCTTTGTGTTGGGCAGTCCTTGCTGTGTTTTGTAATTGAGTTGTTTGTTCTTTGTTTATTGGGCTATTTTGTTTATGTAGCTTTTGACTGGTTTGTATCTTTTTAGTTGATCCTTTAGGCCTAGCTTATTGTTTCTCTTTTCATTAGGATTTTATGTTTTTCTTATTTTTCTTACATCCTTTTGAATTCTATATATTTTTTCTTCAATGAAAATTGGCATGTTTGCCCCTAATTTTTCCAAAAAAAAGCTTGAACCCATTCAAAACTTAATCCTATCGCCAACTAATTTACCTTATATCATCAACTAATTTACTTTATAGCATCCACTAATTTACCTAATCCAAACCAAACTCAAGTCCCAATCAAATAGCCCTAGTGTTCGTGGTTTGCTGTTTGGTGTTTCGAAATGATCTTGGGATCACCTCAAGGGTATTGCAGAATCTCAGATCTTACCGGGTAATATCTTCTCCCATTTCCCTCGTACGCCCTGTAAGCGCGACTTCAATTACCGAACCCGGTGACAGCTGGGAAGGCGACAGCGGGAGAAGGGCAGCTAGGGAGATCCCGGAGGCCGAGACAGGTAACTTCCCAGGGCGTCAAGAAGTTTCTCATCCCCTCCATTCATCAAATTTCTGCAGCCGCCGCTTAGGGTGAGTTTTCCGACCTCAAGATCTGTTCTAGTCAGTTCCCGTACAACCGATCCAGTGCTGAGATCAGCCGCGTGCATGTTCATTGCCATATTAGCAGTTTTTAACCATTGTTTTTTTTTTCTTTTTTTGAGTTACCTTGTCGTGGGTTTTGGTCAAATTTCATGTGCTTGGGAGTGGGTGGGTAACGATTAAAATGGTTCAAATCCCTCGTCTTTACTTTAGTTTTTAGGAGGATCCAGTCATTCATGTTGTTCTTCATTTGAACCTTGAGATACAAAAAGAATAAATTGCATATCTGCAGTTATATTTTTTGTATAAATGGATGATTACTCTTTAAAAGCTTCCGCTCAACTGTGGGTGACTGTCATTTTCGCATGAAATGAAGTCTTACTCAGATGTCTGTAGTCTTCTCTGTTACTTTCCATTTGTGAAAGCATGGGTGGCAATAGGTAAGGGGAATATGTTACTCAGTTTGGAATTTTTTTCCTAGACTTTACTCATTGTGATTTGCTTTAAAAATAAATTAGATTCGGTCTGGTAGAAAAAAAACTGCGCTTATTGTGACAATGCTAGAATTTGAAACACATTGTTTGATGAGCCAGAACAATTTTAACGGCGTGTATTGGAGGGTACATCTAGTGCTGATTAGTCTTCTGAAATGTAAATAGTGGTGGGATGATATTGGAATCAGTATTTTCTAATACATGCGTACCATTTTTAAGGAAGTTTAGCACGACATTTGAAGCTTCTTGTTATAAAGTAATCCATTCTTTCATTTGTTTCCGCTTGGTTTTTCTCTCAGCAAACCTCTTTGTTTCCTTATATTTGGATTAAAATTGTGGAAAAAAGATTTGCAAGCTGTAGATTTAGCAATTCATACAACACTTAAAAGGAATGAATGGACAATGATGATTCATGAAGTCGGCCTCAAGTAATTTAGATAATGTTGATGATGAGAAACGAAATAAAGTTATTTTTTAATTAAATGAGGCATAATTATCCTTTCCGATAGATGAAATTAAATTGAGTATGGTGAGCCAATTGATATGTTATTTGTTTTGAAACTTTATTTGTTTTCTATATCTACTTAGCATGGTAAAAGTTATTGATTTGTTTCTTCATGTCTAACCTTCAGAGATATCCATCTCGGACAAATTGTTGGCTCTCTCATTGCTTAAGTCAAAATATGTGATTATAGAGTGGGTGAGCCCACAAGAATGAAACAACAATTGTAATTTTGAATGCTGAAAGTTTCATTTAATGACCCATTGTGACAAAGGGCAATTGCATATTTTATCAGTTAAAGGAACTCACTTTTTTGTTTTAGGGAAGGTACAAAATGGCATTTTAATGAGTCATCATGCCATCCAATCCCTCCTCTAGGGGTCTAATTGCCCGACTTAACAACTGGAGTTCTATGAAATCACATGCACTCTCTGTTAATGTACCATTTTAAATAAGTAATTTAAGGTTTGATAACTTGTATGAATTTTGATATGATTAGTTGATATTGTCATGATCAAAGTAAAGAGTTTGTAAAGCTTCTTAGTTGGTCTCCACTTGGTTTTTCTCCTGACAAGCCAAATAATTTTTATATATGTATAGGAATTATGTAAAAAGATTTGTGAAAAGAAATTTAACACTTCATGCAACTTTCAATAAAAATATGGAAAATAACGATTCATAAAGCTAGCCACAAATAATTGGGCTAAGGTTGACTAGAACAAATAAGAGAAAGTTGTATATTAGTTAAAGGAGGGATAATCATTCTTTCTTGAGGGAATTTAATTGAGTTTGGAGTGTTATTTGTGTCGGTTTTATTTGGTTTCTAATTATTTAAACTTCTTTTGGTTTTCTTTATCTACTAAACTTGGTAAATGCTCTTGATCTATTTCTTCATGCTTAATCTTAGGATAAGCCCCATTTCAACGTTCTAACCAATTGTTTTTGGCTTTATCACTAATGGGCCAACCTGGTTGGATGAAAGGAGAATGCAAAGTAAATGGGATACAATGTAAAAAGAATGCAGTGTATTTAGATTGTTTGGATGAGTGTAAAATAAATGCAAGTGATTATATATATGCACAAACATATATACACACATATGCGGTATGCTATGCTTTAATTTTAGTTTAAGTTGCTTTTTTGTTGTGATTTTCAGAATATGGTTAAAAAGAGATAATAATATGAATGTATGCTGGGTGATTGTTGGTTCTATGTGTTTATGCATTTGAAACTTTTCAAACTTTAGATCCTATACATTATAGGTTTGTAAAACACACTTAAAGATTTTTATTTTAAAATTTTTAATTTTTAATTTTTTTTTTGCTTGTTTGTATATATATGGTTCTGCATTTCTTATCAACCAATGCCAAATGGTCCTTTTTAATGTTGTTAGAGTCTAACAATTGTCTTGAATATAAATATCTATATGCTTTCTATTCAGCCTTCTTCCCAACTCTCATCACAATATTCACTCTCACTTTATTGTCTCATTTATCTTTTTTCTTATGGATTCCTCCTTTCACATCTGCATTATACATTGCATCCTTATAAAAATAATTACTATCAAGAGTGCATTATTTTTTGAGAAAATCTACATCATGTCTTACCTTAAACTTGTAGTGGGACAGAAGGATTCGGTCCTTAGCTTTAATTTGTTTTACATTTTATGATTGTTGAAGACCATATGTGATATTGCTTGATGTTTCTCTTAATTCTCTTGCATTCTCTTTCTCCACCTTTTTTGTTCTCCTCTTTATTCCTTCTTCTTGAAACTTAAATGGAACTATAACTTCTCCTAGGAGTTTTCTAATTTGAGTTATTAGTGGATTTACATTTATTTGATCCACTGTCGGGAGAATTTAGGAATGGATAGATACTTGTCTTGAGCTTTTGGAACCAGGACAGTTATGATCCATGAGGATGTCAAAAGGAATAAGTGGGTTAGGATTGGTACAAAAATATCTTTAGAAACTAAAGAGTTCAGACAACAACCTGCAACCTTTTTTTTATTTTTTTGTCCAAAAAAACGGCTACAATTGAAAATGTTTGAGTTTCAATAGTGAAGTTCTTGAATAGGAGCTCAAAATCTTCAAATTGATTTCTGAAGGACACCCTAGCTTATATTGTTATTGATTTGACATCTGGCTTACTTTAGATGTTATGTATATGAAGAACTAATTAATGAATTTTGCTTTTCTGTTAAATGCCTCTGCTTTAAATCTCTAAATAGAACTAGATGAGTTCAAGAAGTATTGGAAGTTCTTGGGCTTCAAAGTATAACGAGTGATTTGCAAAGTCAAAATTTGACTCTGAATCCTTTATTTTTCTATGTTTATATTTTGATCATTTGTGCCCACAGTTGAATCGTGTGAATGCTTTACCATTGTCAAACTTAGAAATATGAAACATAGCTTAGAGTTGGGAAACAGTCCTTGCATTCATTCAAAATTTTAAAGTTGAGGACTTATTGCTTTGATGAAGCAACCAGACCCTCTGCCTCAAGAAAGAACTAACAAAACTGGCATTGTCTTATCAAGAAGCATGTTGTCCTTCATATCTAAATGAACTTTAGATGAATGTGAGATGATTATTATGCTATTTGTTGAGGCAGAAAGCAGCCATCATTTTGTGTCAGAAAATGATGTCTTGATAAGGTCGGAAAGCTTCGTTTGATGCCAGCATTTTGATATTTGTTAATGGTTGACATTTGTTTCATCGCCTTTGTTTTTTTTTTTGTTTCATCACCTTTGTCGTTATTCCTAACCCATATATTTGGAGAAGCTTAATGAACCCAGGATACATAGCGAACATTCTTGTTAAAAGATGCATTTGTTGTTTTCTTGTTTAATTAAATCCTTTGTTGGTTATTGTATGGTGTTAATATGGAAAGAGTCTGATTCTTGTGGATTTTTGCTTTCTACTGCACATTTGATTCCTAAATATTTGTATTCTGGAAAATAATGAACTGAGATTGTCCAAATTTTTTTTATCCTTACCTTATATGCTTTGATGTACGTTTAGAAGTTGCACCAATGATAAAGCCTGTAAGGTGAATGTATATGATGTCTCCTTGTTGTTCTGTTGTTGTATACTGTCGGTAGATGGATTGTGTTGCTCCATTGTGATTTTATAATGAATGCTCTTAGAAATAAATTTTTTAATGTGAAAGTGATTTATGTTTTATCTTGATATCTTTTTTTTTCTATTCAGTACTGTTGGGTAGTTTGGGCAATATGATATACATTAGAAACGATTATTTTCAAAAGGAGGCTCGATTGGTGATTTTTTTCCAGTTAGCAAAAGATTTCAGTTCTAGGTGTTTTGGGCTGTTTGCTGTTATGTTTTCTAAAAAACCAAATTCTGTTGGCATCATTGAAAGTTTAATTTTAAAGGTTGCTTGGTTAATGCGTAGATCCAGTTGACTTAATTTTTCTTGATCAACAGAAATTATTGAGTATTATCGCTTCATTAATTGGTACTTATTGCCTATTTGAATGTTAATATAATCCAATTGGAGCTTATGCCTGCTAATTAGTGATTAACTGAATTAATTGGAAATTTATATATCTGAGTTTAATTACTTAATTTAGGATTGGACTCATAACCTTATTTAAATCCCATAATCTTTACTTGGACAAGATTTGCTAAATGCCAAGATTTTGAAAATCCTACCCAGATTAGGATTTATCAGATCCTGGGATGTAAGGAGCCATTTTTTATTCCTAAATCCAACTCAAATCCTTGCATCCAGACAACAGGAATTGCTATATTTTAACGAATTGTGCGACAAGCCTTAATTTAACCAGAAAACATTCTAAAGGGCTTCTACTTGCATGCTCTGGTAGTTACTCCTTTATATACTACCTATTTGTGACGGATTTCGAAGTCGTGTTAATTTTGGAAGTAGCATCTTTTACTGATATCTTTGTTGTTCCTTCTTGCAAGATAGTTTTGCCAATAGCTTAATTAAATTGCATATCTTGTCAGCTACCTTA